ATATATATATATATATATATATATTCTTTTAAAACTGCATCAAAAATTAAAATAAGAATCATGAATTGGGGGTGGGGATACTGATGCGAGCCCTCTCACGCCTTTCTTTCGCTTGCTGCCAAACTTTTCCTAAGTGCCCACTGCCCGCTTTTCAGACGCACTCGGCCTGAGAAAGCCACCCCCCCTCCCCTTAGTAGACTCGCAAGGTCCCCTCTGACTAAGCCAGGCTCAAGGCTGAGGCCAAGAACCCAAGGGTGGGGTGCGCAGGGTCCTGGCTTCCAGCACCTCCAAAATGTACACTCGAACACACTACACACACACACACACACACACACACACCAAAACACACACCTGGCCTCGCTCAGGCGCAGGAAACTGGTAGCCAGACCCGGTGGGAGGGGGGGCAGAGAAAGCACGTGGTGACCTCCCCAGCCGTCAGGAGCTGTAGAGACGACGTCTGAGAGTACCTTTGGCGGAGGGGAGGGGGCACGCGGGACGCGCTTTTACAGTTGCATTACAAAATAAAAATGCTTTGCAAAGCCGAGTTTCACCCAGCCGATTTTGCAGTCTTGGGAGGTCGGGAGGAGGTCTTAGCATTGTGCTAGGGGCTTACCGCGGCGAGGTCGGGCGAGGCCCGGGCGAGGCCGGGCCGCCGCTGCCGCCGCCTGTTCCCGGGCCGCTGCGCCGCGCTCGGTCCTCTGTCTGTTTGTTGGCAGGAGGCTCCCGCACACGCGGTGCTTGTAAACATTCAGACACGAGATTTTTCCCAATCAAAATCCACTTCCACTTTTTTTGAAAATCTTCCAAAAAATGGTAAGAGGAGGGAGTTCCTCGCTCCCTCTCCTAGCTGCTGGCGCTCTTAAGTTTGCGACTGAAGGGGTTTGGGGGAAGGAGGTGACTTTATTTATTTTTTTCTATTAGAGATTGTAAGAATTTTGCAGGGGCGGTGGGGGCGCGGGAGGGCAAGCGCGAGGAGCCGCCACAAAAGGCAACGGGACAAACATCCACCTCGGGCCGGAACAAAAGGCGGCAGCGCCGGCGGAGTCTCCCGTCCTCCCTAGTCACCCGGCTCTCCCCGCCGCCGCGGCCCCTGTTCCTATTCCGCAGACTCGCGAGCACCGGGGACCCCTTCCACAGTCCCACTTTCTCACTATTGTGGGGATGACTACTTTCCTCCCGGTGCACACTTGACCATGAGCGCGCCGGTGTCCAAGGGCCAGTCGTACCTCTTTCTCTAGGAGAATTGTTTTTTTCGACTTGGACTCCCTCCCTTTCTCCCCCCATTTTCATACGGTGAGTGGAAGCACCCCCCTTTTCCCCTTCAGCTCCCACCCCCAGGTCTGCCTGTGAGTTGTTCGCATCCTTTGGCATTGTTCATTATTTTGCAAAACTGGGGGCGAAAATCATTGCATTCCTTTTCGAAAAGAGAAATAAAGCCGCGGAAAGAAGGAAAGAGGAGTCAAATTTCTGTAAAATTAAATAAAATTAAAAGGTGCGTGCTATCTTAAAAGTGCACACACAGCTATGGTTCGAGAAGAGATGAGGGTTTTTACCCCTTTTAATATCTTTTACCTCCATGCACGAAGGTTTTCCTGGTGAAAAATTTTAAAATGCATGCACACACCCCTCTCTCCCTTGCTCTTGCTTCTCGTCCTGCGCGCTCTCGTGATTATTAATAATTATTATTACTATTATTGGGTTACTTACGCGAGAATTCCCGTTTGCTTAAGTGCTGGGGTTTGCCTTGCTTGCGGCGAGACATGGTGGGCTGCGGGGCGGGCGGCGGCGGCGGCGGCGGCGG